CCCCCCCCCCCCCCCCCCCCCTCCCCCCCAACACGATTATATTATTATCAGGAAGCAATTTTTGTCCCTCGACAGCCTGAAACCTGAAACACAACCACAAACTCTGCGAGAAGAACATTCCAGAGGGGATACATGAGGCTCGGCGTAGGGGGGGGGGGCTCACCTGACCCGGCATGGGGCACCGCAGACTGCGGGAGTGATCGACGAACGCGGGGGGTAGCATGTGGGCTGAGAGCTGTTGTTCCCGGAGAGAGCGAACGACCACGTGTTGGTGCGATCCGGCCATGACGAGGTTGTATCCCTGCGAAATGCGCAGTAGTACGAGTTGGCGTGTTACAGCCAGCGATCACCACAAACAGACGGTTAGGTGCCAACAAAGATGATGAAACGGCAGATGTGTTTTAGCCGACCGCCTCCACGGAGAGATGTCGATCTTGCTTTGCGAAGATCAAGACCACCACCCGAAGACTTACCTCACCACTTAACACCAACGCAATCACAAGCGCAGCGGTGGCCGAGAGGCGACGGAGGGATCCCGGTGGACAACAGCGATCTCGATGCATCCTACCTTGGAGAAAACAACACGGAGCCCCTTTTTCTACGGTTGGTCTTGGTGTGCAACTTTCGACCTCGCGTGGTTTCCAAACTTCACTACTCCGGACCAGTCATGGTAAGTAAGAGCTCGAAATTGGAAATCGGGGCTCGCTCACCTCTCCAATCGCACCGAGGTACTGCAGCACCTGCGGCGTGCCGTCAACGGTAGCCTTGATCAACGGAAAGCCGACATTCCACGCCAGCTCGTCCACCGTAAGCCTACAAGCACAGATGGCGAAGGGTGCACAAGAGAAAAATTGGCGTTCGGAAAAAAAAGCTGCACGGTTTTGAGCAACACCTTGATCTCGACGAGAGGGATCAGACCAACGTGCAAACAATTCTTGGGGGCGTCGGTCTCCACTGTTACCTTACGGAGTTCCCGCCCACCGCCTTCCCCTCCTGTGGCTCAATTGTCAGGGCTAGCGGTTTCCCCACTTCGCCGTCGGGAGTCACCTTGAAAACTCGACCGCCGTACCCACCGAGAGTCACCATGCACTCCTCAAGAGGTCTGCCGTGCGAAAAAAAAAAAAAATGAGTACACGCGTCAGCGAAAATATTTTCATACGGGTGGGTCCTCACGTGCCGAATGGAACAACCTCGAAGATGCCAAGCGGATCAACTCTGTCGTTGTGCCTATCGCCCATTTGGTTGAACAGAAATAGCATCCTCGTGCACCGTGGTGGTCACCCAAGCGTGCATCATTCCGCCCAAGCTTGGTCTCGTCGATCGACAAATAGTACCCAAGCACTCTGCACGTCCTTGGGGCTGTGGCGGATCAGCACGGTACGGGTTGTTGCCTTTGTGAAGCTAATCGAAATTTCGTCTCAGCCCATGTTGCAGACGTACGTATGTTTTCATGCGGAGTAGTTTCACCCGAAACCCTCAAACCCCCGCAATCTTACGGCCATGTCTCCGAAAGTAACTCCCAAGCTCCTCTGATGGTGTGACAAGCGTCGTGGCGACTTCAATTCAAAATTACAGCAAATCAAGCGACAATATGACAACCAGCAACACACATCATTTGTCATGAAATGTCCGTGCCTGGTGACGTCAGGACTCGGCCGGACCGACGCCTCCACGTCTTGGCAGACCCACCGCACCGCGGCCGCCACGGCCGCTAGCTTCACCTCCTCGTCCTCCGACAGCACGACGCCCGTAAACCTGATAGACGAACATCAGGCCATCCAACCCCACGCCAAAAGAGATTGGGTAGGTGAGGTGGCGGAGAGGGTAAGTAAGAAGCCTGGTACTCGGGGATGTGAGCGCGAGGGAGCTAGACACCTGATGGCGGGATGATAAGATGAAAGTCGGGTCGGTGTCGTTGCAAGTAGCGTGTTGCATAAGGCAGAGCGCCGCAGACGGAGTCTGCCATATCGCGGAACGCGACACATGAGAGGAAATGCGTTGTCAGTGGGGAACGGGCACGCCAACCCCGGTCCATTTGATCGTCCGCACAAACGGCCGCAAACAAACGCAGCCGTTGACATATACAAAAAGAGGTGGGTACACCGTGTAGAAGTAGCAGTAGCACCAGCAGCAGCAGCAGCAAGAAGGTACAGGTATCAAGCTTACCCTTCGGGGTAGTGCTTGTCAATAAAGGACGTGCTGTACTCCCCATCAGCGAAGTCTTTGTTCCGAACGACGTCTCTAAGGAAAGGAACGTTGTGCCCCAGCCCCTGGATCACGTACTCTTAGAGCGTCACAACGATACGCAGCGGACACAGCGCAATACACAACAAATGAGCCGAAGCGGTAGCAGTAGCGATGCGGTAGTGGCAGATGAGAGCGGTGGCCGCGGGAAGGAACCCACTAGTATCTCAATGGGATTGAAGCAAACGCCGTCAACAACCACTGCTACTAACGACGACGACGACGACGAAGACGACGACGACGACAACAACAACAACAACAACAACAACAACAAGTTCTGCCAAAGTCGAAAACATTCCCGGCACCACGAAGAGCACAATCCACGACCGGCATGACCGGCTTTGGTTCCGGCGAGGGTGCGCGCAAGGTTGTCCCGGTATGGTCACCCACCGTCAAGCGCCGAGCCCAAACGTCCGAGGGCGACCTCCCTGGTTTCCCCGTACGCGATAAGCTTGCTGATCATCGGGTCGTAAAACATCGACACCTCTGACCCTTCTACCACGCCGGAATCCACCCTCACGCCATCCGCCCCGCCACCCCCCCCCTCGGCATCGCCGCCATCCCCGTTCGCGGTGACCCTCGGTTCTCGGTAGGTGACGAGAGGTCCGGTGGATGGGAGGAACTTGCGGAACGGGTCTTCGGCGTACACGCGCGCCTCGATGGCATGTCGGTGGAACGGGACGTGGGGCTGTCGCGGTAGGGAACCATGTTAGGGAAGGGCGCGCGCGCACGGGGGGGGGGAGGCATGCCGAGCGAGGGAAAGTGTAGATTGCGTGGAGATTAATGGGTCGGGCGGGAAACGTATGGGGCTACAGGCCACAGGTACGATACGAAGAGATAAACAAAGTCGCGGGTCGGCTTCGCAATGGGTGGCGTAAACTTAGTCATGTTCCATGTGGACGAGGAGGCATGGAAACCTGGCGAGCAAGAGCTGCAAAAGCGAAGCTCGTCTCAGCGACTGACTGGTCTAGGGGAATGATTGCATCACCAAGCTGCACGTCAGAATAGTGGAGTCACCTTAAAAATGCGCAATCGTGATCCAGGTTACCTGTTTGATGAGGTGATCGCTCATTGGCCGGCCGGCGGCAATGTTCAACATCTGGTGGGCGCACAATGAAGGGAGGAAGCGAGTGAAATGCCTTTGGAATAGGCCAAAACAGTAACCTTCGGACAAAAATAACGAACAATCACCGGTGCTGTGGCGACGCACGGCAGTCACCGCATGTGGCGTGTGGGAAAAAAAGATACGCAGCGCATGCTGCTAACACACGTAACAAGACCAAAATGCAACGTGTATGCGTATCGCTTGCTGCTGACACGCAAACCATGGCCATCGGTATTGTATGCAACGTGTGTATCGTTTCTTGCTGACACAGGTACCAACACCATCGGTGGGATTTGTACGTATCGCGTCCAAACGTGTGTATTTTTTCGGCTTGCCTGCTCGACGAGGTCGACGTCCGTGACGCACTCGGTGACGGGGTGTTCCACCTGCAGCCGGGTGTTCATCTCTAAGAAGTAGAACGACAGGTCACTCGCGCAGATCATCTCCACCGTGCCGGCTGACCTATTTTGAGGACCAAGGGTGTGTTTTCGGTCGTGGCACACATACATCACATACAATATACCCAAAACGAAAAACACGCCATGAAGAGGCCGATGGTAGATGTTGGCGTGCCACACACCAGTCACGTTCGGTTTGTTCTGCTGAAAGGGTGACAGTTACACATAGCTTGGGTGCTCCATGGAAGCCTGCTGCAGGAGACAAAAACAAGCGACATCTGCAGGCACCGTACACGCAACCCGTACAATTGAAGTAGCCTTACCTGTAACCTGTAGCCTTGGAGAGCATGATCGCCTGCTCCTGCATGGCCGCTCGCACCTCAGGCGTGATGAGGCAGCTCGGAGACTCCTCTAGGACCTGCCCAGTCCAAAACGAATCGGACGGCGAACGACTGACCATGCCAGCAACCGCGTCGTCCGGGATCAACAGCTACTAACCATCACGCGTAAGCTTTCAAGTTTCATCTCTCTGCTGGAATGCACAGCCACGAACGACAACGCAGAACATACGGTACAAGCCAGCGTGGAGCAGAGGACATGCGTGCTGTCAGGGAAGAAGAACGGGAGGTGGGGTTGGCAGGATTCGAGGGGAACGCTCGCACACGAGCAGATCACCCCACGAGTTGACACAAAAAACTCTAGACTGCTGAACCCCGCCATCTGACGCGAGACGAAAAAAAAGGCGAGAGAATTCAAGACGGGCCGTCTTCTGACTGACCTTCTGGTTCCGCCGCTGTACGGAACACTCGCGCTCGGGAAATGCTGCTACATTGCCGTGAGAATCGGCCAAAACCTGCACGGGGAAAAGTCGGGAGAGGGGGGATCCGCAGAAGGAGGGGACACGTCACGGAGGGGGGAAGAGAGATGGACTACGAACGAAGAACACGATTCGACTGGCGTTTCCAATACTTGGCGTATTTGAAACAGCATTGGGCCTGGGTCAATACGAGACAAGCCCACTGCCGAGCGATCGTAGCCGACCGAACGTCTCCAAATCACGGCAAGGGTGGGCAACAGACTGGCGTCCCCCGCGAGTTGCGCGGCCTAGCAAGGTGTAGACAACAAAGCAACGTGCAAGGCTGGAGAATGCATCTTTCATGGTCTACGCCCCTCCTGCTCCCCCTGCTGTTATTGTTGCTGGTACAGAGGGGAACCCTCAGTAACGCCGATGAAATTGACCGGCGCTACCGCGGGCTCCCGGAACTTTTCCCAGTACGAAGCAACCTGATGATCCCCAGGTGTGTCACACGATTTCAGCGACGCAAAAGCACACTACCGATGGCCCTCCATTGTAATGACGCTACTCTCCACGCGACAAAATCGCTCTAAACTCTACCCAGTGTCTCCTTCTTGATCCGTCCGGCGACAAACGAATGTCCGCAGTCGCAGGATGACAGGGTGGGTACATGAGAAAAACATACCAACAGTGATGAACTGCATTGGGGAAACATCGTGCGTGTTTCTCGTGACTCTCATTGTATACATCATCCCTCGTTGCAGAAATACTTTTTCTCACCTGTATCTCGATGTGGTGGCCGTCCTCGATGTACTTCTCGACGAGCATTCGGCCATCGCCAAAGCTGCTGATTGCTTCGGCCGTGGACCTCTCGAAACCGCTCCTCGCATCCTCGGCATCTGAGACGGTATACGTGTCACGTACCATGAGTCCACGCCGCCTCAGGAGTCAAAACCAGGAAACAACATAGTCACACGATCGGCGGGCCACCCACTCGATGGTGCACCCGTAATGCCGCGGTAGAGTTCGGCCAATGAGCGTGAGCCCATCTACAAAGCGGGGACGCCTATATTGTCCCTACATAAGACTTCCATCACATGTTCCGGCCTTGTTTCGACACTCCTCCGAGACCGTTTACAATCGGGTCAAACGTGCGCGGTAACCGGCATCCAGCGCAAGAAAAATATACCGGCTAGCTGTCGCCAAACTTGCCGCAAGCAACAAATCATCCGCGTTGCATACTCTCTCGCGGCACGAAACAGATCAATATCCCACGAACGTTTCTTTTCGGGAGTTACACCGAACACTGTTCTTTGTCAAACACACGAGTGATTGATTTCTTTTTCGTTTCGTATTTTTTATTGCTCTCACCGTACGCGATCCTCATCCCCTTCCCGCCACCGCCGGCGCTTGCCTTGATCATGACCGGGTACCCGATCTCCTCCGCTATCCTCACCGCCTCATCGCCAGACTCGATGATGCCCTACGTATACACCACAGGGTCCACGAGCGCACAAGAGTTTATACGGCTTGAAACGGAGCGCACCAGCGCTTGGCACAGCAGCAGTAAGCGGGAGCAGCTGCTCGTCGACTAAGATAAACGATTCCAACTTCGTTCAGCATGTCATCCGCGGCCGGCCCGTTCGAATCCCTTTCCCTGGTAGAGAAATCACCACCTGTCATGTACCACAAACAGCGAATCTCGTCAACACTACAGCACCTCGGATTTTCTTTTTTCCTACACAAGACAACAAATTCATCTCATCCACGCACAAGAGTCCGGGATCGATTAGGAATAAATTCAATAGTGCTGTATGTTTTCCCTTTTTTTTGTTTTTTCTTCCCGCTGCTTGGGTGCGGGTGGGTACACGCCGCACCTTGAACCCCGGGATGGTGTGCACCCCCGCGTGCGCCGCGATCTTCTTGGACTCGATCTTGTCCCCCATGCTCTCGATAGCGCCCGATGGCGGCCCCACGAAAGCGACGCCGGCTTGCTCGCAGGCCTCCGCGAAAGAGGCGTTTTCACTCAGAAAACCATACCTAAAGTTGAGCACAAGTTACATGTTTGGGCGTGCAGCTAGAATTGGGTTGTCGATATGGAAATGTTGCAGTTTGCTTCAACCGAATTTGTTTTCACTACGATTTAAAACACACACCCGGTGCACACGCGCACGGTCAGCATCGACGCTTGCGGGAGAGGGGAGAGTTGGGCTGGATTGCACCTACCAAGCAACTCTGACCTATATCCCCTACGCCAGCTTTATCACCTTATGCCTTTACCTATCTCTATCTGTGCCTCTTTGCCTGCTGGAAGTGTTCCTTACCCAGGGTGGATGGCCTGAGCACCCGTCCTGAGAGCCACATCCAAGATCTTATCTGCGTCGAGGTAGCTCTTGAGCGCCTCCGGCGGCCCGATGCAGACGGCTTCGTCGGCCATACGTACGTGAGGGGCCTGTGGCGGAGAGAAGGTTAAATGGAAGTAGGCGTGTTGTAGGTGGGGCGGGGGGGGCGTGCAGGTTGCTGCATTCGTCAGTGAGCTTTTCAGTGTATCTCTAGCCACCGGTAGTGCTGGCACCGCCAGAGACGCTGAAGAGAGGTGAGATTCGAAGGAAAAATGAGGGACATCAATTTGCTGTACTGCTGTACAGCAGTGCTTTCGTGAAACACAGCAAACATCCAATCGGCAGTGACGAAACCGACTATAGCTTGACTGTTCATCTCATAGAGGCAACCCAAAGACCCAGCGACCCTCAAGGCATGTTGCACGTTTGATAATATCCTGGACATCTTTATCTGTAATAGATCAAGAGGATGGAGATGGATAATCGTTCTTGCTTCCGTAGGGAAAAAAAAAAAGCAGACCGGGAGAGAGCCAGTGCCACGACGACGCTTGACTTCTCGCCTCCAGCTCCTTTGAAAAGTCAAACGTCTGCTATTGTTGTTGCTGTGGCTGCAGCTCGTAGCCCAGCGTCCTTTGGAACTCAAAGATAACACCATGGAATTGTCATCATCTATCCTCCACACATGGTAGCACAGGCAAGAGCTTGTTCATCATGTTTAGAAACAATAGAGCAGGTGCAAGGGCATCTGGTAGATCGGCATGGCTGCGTGAATAAAGCCAGCAATACATACCATGCCGTTGCTGCTGCATGCAACTCAGGCGCCCTGTGGTGGGAACCAATCAACGAACCCAACGATGCTACCGGTGAACGACCTTTGAGACTCGTACCGCCCAGCTTCGTATTGCAACGCACTCCTGCACTCTGCACCGCACCGCACCGCACCGCACCGCACCGCACCGCACCGCACCGCAGTTCAAATATGCGGCGTAATAATGTTGCTGTTGCCAGCGGGTAGCTCGCATTGTTCGTAGGCCAGTGAAGCTTGCTACGGACAGGGACTACAGAAACAGGCAATACAACGCCCAAGGTAGAGTGCGCAAGGTCATGAACCCGCTGTTCGCTGAAGACACGATGGCACCAGCCCAACCTGCCGTACAGGAACAACCACCATCGACAGCAGTATACAAAACAACGTCAACTTGAGATGTAAGTCGATACATAACACCGCACTCTCCTCCGCACTTGGTCGTTTTGCGTTTGAATTCCACGCACACCTGGTCGTCCGCATCGCTGAAAACAGCTACCGTCCGCACGCCCATCCTTCGCGCGGTCGCCATGACTCTGCAAGCGATCTCGCCTCGGTTCGCGATCAAGATCTTATCGAATGGAGGTTGACTGTGGTCGTAAACTGAAAAGTCTCGCCCTGCCGCTGCTGCTGCTACTGCTCTTCTTGTCGTTCTCCATGCTTGACGTCGGCTAGCAGGATAGCGTGCGTTGGAGGGGAACTTCGCCCCACGCAGCTGACACCTACCTATTGTTATCATGTGTATCCTGCGCTCGCAAAGTCCGGGTGTGTGTTGAGTGTTGTTGTCGCCAGCACGCGTGCAGATCTCCTCCCGGAAAATAAGTTTGTGATACCCTTGCGAGGCGGTTCGAACCGAGCCAAGACGTATGTGAACAAATCGTAATCTCGTCGTTCTGGCGCGGGCCAACATGTGCCAGCGAGATAGAGCCCCTTCGGTCCTCTTTCCTCGCTCGCACAGCCAACACGGCCCCTTCAAGAGTCATGTCAGGATTCACTACACCTCAATGGATTGCATCTACCTTCCTGGCGGTGGTATTTGGGTGTCTCTTTTGCTTCGCCCACTCGGATTCAAAGCACATCGCAAGGGGGCGACACAACAGAAACACCCGATCGCTTTTTGATAACTTGCCCAAGTTGACTTGCCAAAAGACATTCTGCATTCCTGAATTAGATGCATACAAGCGCCCCAGGCGACTTGATAGAAAGAGCATCATCACACCACACACAGGGTCCGATCTGCCCTCGACAAAGCCACAGGAACGATTTGCGCACCACATTATATAAAAGCCCCCGGAGTTGGGGGGGGGGGGAACTACCACCACCTGGTCAATCTTGTTGCTGTGCTAGTAAAGAGCCAGCGAGCTTTGCCTCACCTGTTATGCCTATCCTCTATACAACAAGCACACTCGGAAGGTGAAGACATTTAGCGTACCAAATCGAATGCCTACCTGGAGGAAAGAGACAAGAGAGGGTGGCAGAAGTTTGTTTGCGGAAAGAGGTGCAAAGCTACCACCATCCTGTAGATTCGAAGAGAAACAAACGTCGACATACAGATGCGCTCGCACTTCACCCTTTTTTATTTTTCTCAATATGACACAACGAGTCCATCTCTATTATAGAAAAGAGTCATAGACAGATTAACAATGGAATCATAGCGTCAGAGAAAACTACCTGTATGTCTACGATTTCCCAGACAGCATATAGGGACATCTCCCCTGCGGGTAACAGGCTCAACAAATCAGTTTGGTAGCTGTCTTGTGTGTCTCATATATGTAATGTTGGGAAGGTAGGTGCAGACGAGAGGTGTTGGGTACTGTTGGTTAGTCGGGCGTTTTGTGTGCGGCACCCTTTTGTGACGGGAGTTACTGTGGCTCTTCCGGAAGGCACAAATAGCTGTTGAGTCCACCANACAGGCTCAACAAATCAGTTTGGTAGCTGTCTTGTGTGTCTCATATATGTAATGTTGGGAAGGTAGGTGCAGACGAGAGGTGTTGGGTACTGTTGGTTAGTCGGGCGTTTTGTGTGCGGCACCCTTTTGTGACGGGAGTTACTGTGGCTCTTCCGGAAGGCACAAATAGCTGTTGAGTCCACCACCAATACAGTAGGTGGCCCGATATAGTGGCATATAGTGGCCAGACAGAATTGTGCCACTATTCAGGGCAGTGCCACTATTCGATATAGTGGCACTATTGCCACTATTAGACAGTCGATAGTGGCAATAGTGCCACTATATCGAATAGAAGAGAGCTTCGATGTTCACGCTGTACACTCATTATGCGCTGTAAAGCCGTGTATACTGCTGTTCCACTCCTCAGTATCCGCATGAAACACATGAAATGGCCGTTGATTATCCAACGGTTACCGAGCCTTCTGTGGTCAAGACCTGTTTTTTCTGTGCAGGCAGACCAAAGGAACCACGTCCCAACGCATTGTATCATAGGTGGCATGCCATTTTTTTTTGTCCGGCGGGCAGTGTAACATGGGGTTCAACACTACGTGTAGAACGCATGAAAACAGCAACGTAGAGACGCGAAACTAACTGAAACAGCCCTACAGCACGAGAAAAATCAAACACCCCCACCCCGGCGCATCAACCCAACCACCACGATGCTCTGCAACTGTAGGCGTCAGCCGACTGATTGCACTACGAGTCGGCAAACACTCTAATGTCCAACTGCCGTGCCGGTCTAGCGAATGTAGCTGCCAAGAATGCCATTTTCGCCTTGCGGAGAAAGTGCCCGGCGTCACCAATGCCACACGACTCTGCGTATTGTTCTAGAGGACCAAAAAAATCAGCCAGCTCCGCGAACGACGGCGGCGCCTTCTTCCCACCACCCCCCGCACTCTCAGAATCTTTGGCGCTGTCTAGCTCGTCGTCGTCGTCAGAAATGTTTTCGTCCTCCTTGAAAGTGGTGTTAACCTTTTCCATGAAAAAAAATCTCCTTTGCGTCTTCAGACAGAGTTTCAGCAAACTCGGGTTGCTCCTCCAACCCGGCCCATGCCTCCACGGCCTTGATGGCCGTGGGGTGAAGGCCGTGGGGTGAGCAGGCGCGCCCGGGGCGATGTTAAGATTCGCCAGAAGAACCTCTACCAACTCTGAGTCCTGCACGCCCGGCCCGGACGCCGCGTCGCGGACGCCGCGTCGCGGACGCCGATGCTGCCCACTACTGAGAGTGTGTGTGGGCAGGTGTGGTACAGCAGTATAGTGGGGGCCCACTAGTTGGAACTGCCACTATTGGGTGTGTGTGATGCCCGAAATGCCACTATTGAGGGCCCCGTCCTCAATAGTGGCAAAGTGCCACTATATCGGGTTGAGGTTTTGCCGGGAGATTTTCATGCCACTATATCGGGCACTTTACTATTCAGGTTGCCACTGTATCGGGCCACCTACTGCTGTAGTCCGAAATTTGGAAATAGAAGGGGAAGAAGGACGAATAAGTCTGACTGGCCGCACACATACGTTGCGAGCAGCGCCCGCGGAGTTGCGCGCAGCCAGCACGAGCAAATAGGGCATGTGCCGTGGCCGGGGCCGGGGATAGAGTATCAGGTGCACCCCGAACGGTCTGAAGGGGGAAGGTCCACACCCACCATGGACTTAGGCTGCACGTAGTCGCAACGGACACATCGCAATCATCCACAAACTAGAGAAAAAGGCTGGTTCGTAGCTGCTGCATCAACACACCACCCCGTGCACGATGGCTGTCTTCTCTCTCTCTCTCTCTGGTACCACGAATGCCTCACCCCGAGCGATGGGCAATCTAACAGTGTCCTAAACGTTTGATCAGTGCCCTTCCAGTGCATTTCAGTAGGCAACACAACAACATTAGAAACACGCAGGATCGGATGCGATCCGGCAAACGCGGCTGAACGCATGTTGCTGAGGACACAAAATGCACATCAACAGCACACACATCATGCAACGTCTAGCACTGCCGTCAGGTAATAAACGAGCCTTTGCCGCCATTGAGGACGTAGGCCTATCCCTTGCAAGGGCTTAGCCCTACAGAAGTATCAGTACCCTACAGAACGGACCTACCTGTGTTAAATATATTTANCCTACCCGTTTGATCAGTGCCCTTCCGGTGCCTTTCAGTAGGCAACACAATAATAACATTAGAAACACGCAGGATCGGATGCGATCCGGCAAACGCGGCTGAACGCATGTTGCTGA